GGGGGGGGGGGGGGGGGGGGGGGGGGGGGGGGGGGGGGGGGGGGGGGGGGGGGGGGGTGTACTCATAGAGGGGGGGTGAGACGCAGCTTTTGCTGAAGAATGTCCGAAAATTCACGCTTCTAGAGGGGCAGAAACCAGGGTACACGCCGGGAATGTGGATTTGGAGATGGCAAACGAAACGGTAGGGTAATGCCGACAACGCGATGAAGCTTGTACGGATAAACTTCAGACATTGGGGCGCAAGTAGTCAACAGTGCCGCATCCGCCAGAATTGCCGGCATCAGCACGCGTGCATCCCGGTGCGAGAAAACAACAACCGGCCCAAGAACAACAACGAGACGGCTGTGTAGATGTTATTTGCAGACGAACGCCACCACGGGAATAAAAAAAAAATGCATAGCAATAACTTACCTCGTTGGTGGTCAACGGGGCTGTAGCAATGACGGCCACCCGATCCTGAGCAGAGGGGAGAGTGGAAGCGGTCGTACGAGAAAACGAAAGCGCATACGCGGAGGGAGGGGTAATGAAAGCGCATGCGCCGACGGAGGGGTGATGATCTATTGCTTGCCTATGACGCCAGTGGGCCATTGACCATGCATCTTTTGTTAGCACCACCACAGAAGCAGCAAAGCATACGGTGCCTCCAAACCATGCCACAAACGCACTATCGACTAGCCACAAGCTCAGTGAAAGCGGCACGACCAGCAACAGCAGCAGCAGCAACAGCAGCAGCAGCAATAGCAACCACAATGACGATAGCAACAGCAACAGCAACAGCAAACAGTCGCAACAGTAACAACAACAACAAAATAAAAATAGCAGGAGCAGCAACAACGGCAACAACGGCAACAACGGCAACAAAACCACCACCACCATCAACAACAACAGCGATCCGCCTGCTTGGGGTAGGCGCACACACGGCCACACACATACACGCACTCACGCTGGGCGTCGTAACGGTGTTGAAGTCCACCTCGCAATCGTCGTCAATGAGCTGGCAGGTCGTGAACGGAAACTCCCTCACGGTGTAGTATAGGCTGTTCCACACCTCGGACCCGGGACGAGCTCCTGGCCAGCACCCTGCACATAGGAGCCAGAAGTCAGGCCAGGTCGGGTACAATCACGCCGAAGCATTCAGGCTACAGAACGTGCCACCGCATAAGAAGGACCTCTTAATTCTTGCTTTCGAGGCTCGCTAAATGTGGGAAATTCAACAGCAAATAGATGGAGTGGTTTTAGTTTTGGGTTGCTATCTAAGCACCACCGCTTATGGTCAACCTAACAAAAAAAAAACAGGGTCGCACCGTTTCGCGGGGAATACTCTCGGCGTTTTCGCCCCAAAAATGTAATGGGTACCATTCATCCTTGTTTTTGTTTATTGTGTATCCATACATTTTGTGATATATTTTTTTACTGTCATATGCATTCATGCGCAAAAAACAAAATAAATACGAGTGCAGGATTTAGCGCGTACCTGCGAACAGGGTGTCCCCACCCTGTCCCAGCAAAAAGTTGAAGATAACTCCCGATCCGCTGCAGAGTTCCTTCCACAACCGCTTCAGCTCGACGAACACGTCCGCCATGTTCGGGGGGGCTGCGAAAGGGTCGGGGTCGCGCGTGCGGTGGGAAGGTGGGGGGTGGGGGGGTTACGTCAGTGCAATGCGTTGCGGTAGTGTGTGGTATTTACCGTAGAGCTTGGCACCCCCATGGAGTCCGCACGGACCATGGCGAGTCCAGCCGACGATGGCTGTGCCAATCGAGACATGCCATGGGGTGATTCGATTGGGCATCACAGCCAACCAAACATTTCACCTTCGGCAGGCACGACTACGCTCACTTGGGGTACCGCAAGGGACTTCGTTCTTTGCGCGCTTGCACACAACAGGCGCGCCACACACTGCGAACACGCCCCTTCGTGTGTGATAGATACACTTGGAGTATAATCTGTTTCTATAAGTCAGGTGAAAAAGTTCAACAAGTCATTCATAAGATTATTGCTCCAGGGCGTTCCAACTATCCAGTATTAAGCGGACATCCTGTAGGGTGTCTAGGGCCGAAGCCCACAAGCCCACAGGACGCAAAAAAAAATGACGCACCCATGGGTATGCATGTAAGCCATGTACCGATACCCTTGACAGGCGAAAACACCCAATGCAGGAAAAACAAGGTAAAAGTGTTCCCAGGCTCGAACACATTCCTGCTACACAACTCCTCCGCATCCTTTCCCTTCAACCTGCAGCCAGATAGTTTACAACCGCAACAATTCTGGTTATCTTGAGCAATTCCATGGTAGGTTCTCTGCTTTGGTAGGGGTATGAAATGGCCAACAACTCTAACGATAACCCGAACCCGAACCCTAACCCACCCGATAGGTGCTAGGTTGGCGCTGGTGGCTAAATTGTACTTGAAGTAGGTTGATGGGTCAGCATTGGCGCCAGGTTGGTGTTCATGACAAAATATCTACTAAGTAAGTTTTTGTTGCTTGGATGGCGTTACGCGGTAAATCTAGGTTGTACGGCGTGCTTGGTTTAGGTGTTACGTTGGTTCCTGATGTGGGTCGGTGTTAAGTTGGTCGTGCTTGGAGAAGGGCTAGGTCGGTCTTGGGTGGTCAACGGTGCTCGTGCAGGGCGGCTGTATAGGCGGGACTGCCAAAGTGCATGGCTAATGTGCGTTTCCGTGGGTGTATCGTTTTTTTTTGCCCACAGAACACGTGCAAGTGTAATATTGAATGAAGGAAATCTGGGGTTTGTGGTCCCAAAAAAACAAAAAACGTGGGGGTCCACAACTCATATAATGATGATAATAATAATAATAATAATAATAATAATAGTAACAATAATTAATAATAATAATTAATAATAATAATAATAATAATAATAATAATAATAATAATAATAATGAGGACATTAGTCCCTGTCAGAGACAGAGGCCGGTGCTCTTGCAGTATTCTACCACTGCCAAGGGTGGCTATTTCCTCAACAACAACAACAACAACAACAACAACAACAACAACAACAATAATAACAATAATAATAATTATTATAACAACAACAATAATAGTATATGAACAATACATGTACTAAATATTAACAACAAGATTCATGAGCATACAACAAACTGCAGAAAACCAGGGCTGTCCTCGTTAACGGTTTTTCATGTCGGAATCATTTCCCGCGTTAACAAGAAACCACGGTACGAAACATAATTTCTAGGGCGGTAACTGGCCACCACGGCATGCTCCATGCGGTAACTCGTCACCACGGTAATTTTACTTTACGGCAACCAGCCATCACGGTATTGCACAGAAATGTGCATTTTTTACGGTAACTGGTCACCACGGTTTATGTTGTACAGTTCACCGCACCAAGGCACGTAGGGCCCTGATTCGTTTTCTTGTTTTCAAGTGTTCCCTAAGGGTGTGGTCACCGCACACCAAACGTGCGCGGCACATTCACCGAGCATCACACCCGTCACCCAAAACGGTCGCATAGTCTATATCCACTTCATTGCACCGGCAGGCTCTCGTGGCCTCAAGACGACGTATGTCCATCGCTGCGCCAAGTTATATGTAATCAACAGGACAGCCAACAAGCAAGCGCCGCTTTTGTCTCTCACTTCCCGAAAAATGCCATATTTATTATTGTGTCGCCGCGCAAAGGCCGGGTCTTGGAGGTGGAACTCTCCCCCTCCCTCCCGGCCCTTAAGCCTACTAAGGAATCCACACGCTTCCTTAAGTAATAAGAACCAGGCTGACCACATTCCGCTGGTCGCCCAGCTTCGACACAAACCTCCATGCCTTTCCATGCTTTGCTCAAGCCTTCGCTTTCGCCCGAGCACGCTTACCTCGGCTTAACGGTCGTTAAATGTCCTGCTCTTTAGCCAGAGACACGCTTACCTTGACCATACTCTTCTCATTATTCAGCCTTTCCATGCCCTGCTCAAGCCTAGAACATGCTTTTCGACCTTCTGGTCTTCCCATGTCTCGCTCTCGCCAACAACATGCTTACCTCGGCTCACCCGGTCGTTCCGTGCCCTACTACTCCGCAGCCAGAGACACGCTTACCTTGACCCTACTTGACACCATCATGTGCCTTTCCATGCCCTGCTTCAGCCTAGAACATGCTACCCATGTCTAGCTTCCGCCCGACACACGCTTACCTCGGCTTAAAAAAAAAAAAACGAACCGACGATGCTCTTGCTCTCTTTGTCTGTCTCCTCCCTTCCGTACACTCGCTTCCTTCTTCCTCCTTTGTCTCTCTTCTACTCCTCTTGTTTGCTTGTCGTCTTGCTCTTTCTTTCAGATGTCTCTTCTGTTGTGAGCAAGGTACCTCTCTTTCCCTTTTCTTTTATTTCGTTGTACATACCTACCTATCAATTATCTCTTACCTACGGTGCCCCCTTTTGATCTTTCAAACCGTTCTGACAAAACATCAGGTTGTACCACAACCTTCCACCTTCCTCATCCAGAGAGAAACGTGGAATTATTCAACGGTTCAACAATCAATACAAGAAAACAACCCCTACGCAACAGCCCCCCCCATAAAACATCAAACCATGAAAGTGGGAGAAAAAAGGGTGGAGGGGGGTTCGAACCTTCGACCTCGCATAGTCTGTTGGGTGGAGTTCGTACGTGTTGGCCAAGAGGGGCACACGAGCATTTGGCTGTTCCGAACGGTACTGCAACTCGTGTACCTTTGCGGTAGATGGGATTTATTGTTCTTACGGAAGCGTACTCCGCGGTAACTTAAAAGCGCGGGAATTCCGATTTTTCCGCGGTAATTTTTTGTAAGGTAATGGGGCACTTAATTTGTTTGTTCCTTAACGGTTTGGTCGTTACCGGTAAGACCAATTTTATCACGGAAACGATTTGGATGGGAACGGTAATTCTCATTTTTCATGGGATCGCGCGAAACGGTAATTACCGTGGTTCTACTGCGGTGAAATTACCGCGCAGGATTCGACAAGGGCACAGCCTTGCAAAAAACAACCCCATGACAGCAACTAAAAAGAAACACCCTCGAGCCTAACTCACAAATGGGGAAATGATCGGTCTCAGCTTCGCCGGGATGCAAAATGGGTAGTGATGCGAAAAAAACATGAGGCCGGGGAGAATCGAACTCCCAATCTTCAGGACTGGAATCTGACGCGTTACCATTGCGCCACGGCCCCGTCTGTTGGTTTAGAGTCGAA